CGGCCCGGCCCGGGGGGGCGGCTCAGGCCCCGCTCGGGGTGACCAGCCGGTAGGGGGGCGGCAGGCGGGGAGGCCGCGGGGGATGCTGGGTAACGCGCCCCCCCAGCGGGGACAGGGCCACGGGGGCGGGGCCGCGCTCACTCACCGAGCGGCCGGGCCAGGGTCCGCCTCTCGCCGCCGCCCCGCGCCTGACCCGGAAGCGCTACCCCAGCCCGCCGGAAGTGTGTCGTCGCCATTTTTAAAATCTCCGTTTACAGGAACAATTTTATCGACCTTCCGGGCGACCTCTGACCCCCGGGCTCTCGCGAGAGGGGACGCGACTTCCGGGGGGCATGGAGGCGGGCTCACGAGGGAGAGGTGGGGCGGGGCTCCTGCAGGGGGCGGGGCTAAGGGGAGAGGTGGGGCGGGGCTCCTGCAGGGGGCGGGGCTAGGGGAGAGAGAGGTGGGGAGGGGTTGTGGGGGGGCTAAGGGGAGAGGTGGGGGGGGCTCCTGAGGGGGCGGGGCTAGGGGAGAGAGAGGTGGGGAGGGGTTGTGGGGGGGCTAAGGGGAGAGGTGGGGAGGGGTTGCTGCGGGGGGGGGGCTAAGGGGAGAGGTGGGGCGGGGCTCCGCAGGGGGTGGGGCTAAGGGGAGAGGTGGGGCGGGGCCCTGCAGGGGGCGGGGCTAAGGGAGGGGGGTGGGGCGGGGCTCCTGCAGGGGGCGGGGCTAAGGGGAGAGAGAGGTGGGGCGGGGCTCCTGCAGGGGGCGGGGCTAAGGGGAGAGAGAGGTGGGGAGGGGTTGCTGGGGGAGGGGGCTAAGGGGAGAGGTGGGGAGGGGTTGCTGCCGGGGGGCTAAGGGGAGAGGTGGGGCGGGGCCCTGCAGGGGGTGGGGCTAAGGGGAGAGGTGGGGCGGGGCTCCTGCAGGGGGCGGGGCTAAGGGGAGAGGTGGGGCGGGGTTCCTGCAGGGGGCGGGGCTAAGGGGAGAGGTGGGGAGGGGTTCCTGCAGGGGCGGGGCTAAGGGGAGAGTTGGGGCGGGGCTCCTGCAGGGGGCGGGGCTAAGGGGAGAGGTGGGGCGGGGCTCCTGCAGGGGACGGGGCTAAGGGGAGAGGTGGGGCGGGGCTCCTGCAGGGGACGGGGCTAAGGGGAGAGGTGGGGGCGGGGCTCCTGCAGGGGGCGGGGCTAAGGGGAGAGGTGGGGGAGGGGTTCCTGCAGGGGGTGGGGCTAAGGGGAGAGTTGGGGCGGGGCTCCTGCAGGGGGCGGGGCTAAGGGGAGAGGTGGGGCGGGGCTCCTGCAGGGGGCGGGGCTAAGGGGAGAGGTGGGGCGGGGCTCCTGCAGGGGGCGGGGCTAAGGGGAGAGGTGGGGCGGGGCTCCTGCAGGGGGCGGGGCTAAGGGGAGAGGTGGGGCGGGGCTCCTGCAGGGGATGGGGCTAAGGGGAGAGGTGGGGAGGGGTTCCTGAAGGGGGCGGGGCTAAGGGGAGAGGTGGGGAGGGGTTCCTGCAGGGGGCGGGGCTAAGGGGAGAGGTGGGGCGGGGCTCCTGAAGGGGGCGGGGCTAAGGGGAGAGGTGGGGGGGGGCTCCTGCAGGGGGCGGGGCTAAGGGGAGAGAGAGGTGGGGAGGGGTTGCTGGGGGGGGCTAAGGGGAGAGGTGGGGAGGGGTTGCTGCCAGGGGGGGGGGCTAAGGGGAGAGGTGGGGCGGGGCTCCTGCAGGGGGTGGGGCTAAGGGGAGAGGTGGGGCGGGGCCCTGCAGGGGGCGGGGCTAAGGGGAGAGAGAGGTGGGGAGGGGTTGCTGGGGGGGCTAAGGGGAGAGGTGGGGCGGGGCTCCTGCAGGGGGCGGGGCTAAGGGGAGAGAGAGGTGGGGAGGGGTTGCTGGGGGGGGCTAAGGGGAGAGGTGGGGCGGGGCCCTGCAGGGGGTGGGGCTAAGGGGAGAGGTGGGGCGGGGCTCCTGCAGGGGGGGGCTAAGGGGAGAGGTGGGGCGGGGCTCCTGCAGGGGGTGGGGCTAAGGGGAGAGGTGGGGAGGGGTTCCTGCAGTGACCCATCACCCCACTTATTTTAAGATGGACTGAGCTGTATTAAAACTGATAACAGCAGGGAGGGTTTTAAACATGGGATTGAAGCAAATGCTAGTTGCCTTGTGTAGGCGAGAGCAGCAGAAATGTACCCTGGGGAGGACAACCCATGCTGTGCTGTTGGAAGTCAGGGCTCCCTACAATGTCCCTTAAAATAAAACTTTGTCCCTTATGTTTCATGTGATATTTCCATCCAACAAAGGTGGTCACCCTACCTGGAGGGGGACTAGCTAATGGTGGAAGTTAAGGGTGGGGCTCTTGACAGGGCAAGTGGTAGGGGAAAAGGGTGTCAAGATGCCCCCCATGTCACGAAGCATCACCAGGACTACCCTGCCAAGTGGATGGGAGTCCTGGGACCCATTTAGGGATCTGAGGGCCTTACAGACCCTGGGCTGGGAGGTGGCGGTTGGGCTCAGTGGTCCCTGCTGATCCACTGCAGCTCACTGTTAAGGGAAAAAAACAATTAGCTCTTGCTCTCACCCCTCTAGGTGCTTGGTTCGACTCTAGGATCCCACAGAGTTCTAGATTCAGAGTCCAATCTACATGGGCATCTTTTACTGGTGTACAGAAATACAGCTCGAGCTGGGTGCCTCCGGAGAGGGACCCCACCCCACAGAAATTGCAAGCAATTATACCCTCTACGGTTGGTAACACCGCCCTCGCCCATGTCCAAAGTCCAATCCCCTAATTTGAGTAGGGGTCTCTGCTCTTTTCCATTGGACAGTTCTGTTGCTGAGTGGACAGTCCATTGCCGGGTGCTGGATTTGCTCCGGGAGACAGTCAGTCCTACTCCTTGCATTTTTTCTTATCTCCAGTGATAACGGGCAGTCTCAGCGGGTTTTGAAGCTGCTTCTTCAGCATTCCTCTCAGGTCAGCTTGACCTCAGCCTAAGGCTTCAACTACTTAAATCACTTATGCTAAGTTATAAGAACAAACTTATTGAACATTCATATAAAATAGCATATAAGCCCTTTTTTATAACACTCACCAACCTGCTTGTGCTTGGCTCAGACCGATCACAACTCACTGGAAACCCAGAAGGTGACACGGAGACTCTCAGCTACCTCTGTGACAATGGAAGAGCTGCCTTTCAGAGATCCACCCTCTAGCCACGGAAAAAGAGAGGAGGTCTTGAGCCCTGCTCTGGAACCCCAGTTTGCTTGGGAACCCATCCAACAGACCAGAAATAAACACCCTCTACAACAAGGAACCCTAAACCCACCCCAAGAGTCTGACCCCTGTTCTTCCCCCATTAGACGTGATTTTTTAGCCATTTAGATGTCACAGCATCGATGGTAACCTAGAGGCTCACCTGTTTCATTGCTTCTGGAGCCAAACTCATTGCACATACCAGGGGCTCCTTGCATTCCTCCATTCCCCCCCACACGCGCCTTCTGTGTCACCCTCCTCTCTTCAGGGACCCCCTGCACTTTCTCCCCACCCACTTCCTCATGCCAGGGACTCTGGGTGCCCTCCCTTCCCCCATTGCCCCTCTGACACATGGAAGGGGCTCTTCATGCCTCCCTGCTCCCATGCCCCTCATACCAGGGTTCCCTTTCCCACATGCCAGGGATGCTGTTGTGCACCCCCATTCCTCCCACTATTCTTATTTCTTTTCTTTCTGCTCTGCTGACCAGATGCCAAGGGCTCCATGACCCCCCCTCCCCATTCTCCCCTTTTGCTTTTTCCAGTTTTTCCCCAAATCAACAGGGGTCTGCCCATTGGTGCTTAGAACATTCCCTGAACCTTCGGAATTGATCAGACCCGGTATTCAAAAGTCATTGCATTACAGACAGGAAAAGGCCCTCGAGTCGCTTCGCCAGGCCGAGAAGCTTCTTGGGCAAGCGACTGTGTTGTCTGGGGCTTGCAGCTGACCTATACAGCACCTGCAGGAGCTTTTCAGCCACCTGGAGTTGGGCGCGTGAAGCTTCTCCGCAGAACAGGCCAGTAGTGCTGGAGAATGGGCTCCGGGATGGGACAGGATGTGTGGGTGACACTGAGGGAATGAGTCCTGTGAGTGCTGAGGCTTCTCCATCCCTAACTACTGTGTCCCTGCCTAGAGATGAGGCTCTGGGAACAGCCTTTCCCACCTGGCCTCAGCCCTTTCTGAAACCGCTTCTTTCCACACTTAGGGCAGCTTTCTTAATGCTTCCGAAGACATTTCTTCTCCCTGCGTGGCCCGGGCCAGGCCTTGGTACCAGCGGGCACACCCTACCTCCTTATCTCACTACAGAAACAAACCCAAATTACTCTGATAACCCTCTTCTGCAGCACCATGTCACATCCTTGCGATGCCAGGCTGCAGGACTGTGCCCTGCTCCGGTGCATCGGCCTGGGGAATTCCTGACTGCAGGGGCCCGGGAGGGCTTATCCAGGGCAGGGGGTGAGATCAAGGCAGCAGAAGCTGTCGGGCAGGGGCATGGGGAAGAAACCTGCCCCAGGGATGGTGCTCTCTGGGGCTTTGGGCAGAATCTGCTCTAAGTCCTTCCATGACAGCAGCAAAGACACGAAAGAAACCTGCTTTTAAAAGGGCCAGACAAAATTTCTGAGTTCAAGCGCTGAAGCAGGAGCTCCAGGTGTCCCCAAGAAAGACAGGGGAGGCGGGCAGTGACCAGATACTATGGTGATGGGTGCACTATAAACAGTAGGTAGATTAGATAACTGTGATGATGGAGTGGCGGCTACTCCATCCTTAAGGATGCAGCAGTGTTCTCATTGTATAATATTAATGCTTTCCTCACTCCCAGGAGGTAGCTCAGGGATGGTGGCTATTTCTTGTCTTGTCTTTTCAACACATAATTTTGAATTCTCCTGTTTGTATGACAGACAGTGTGAATCCTTCTTGCCGAATCCTGGAGTGGTCCGGGGGAGGGGGGAAGGAGCAGGTATCTCACGTGCGGAGACACAGCCAAATGGCAGCTATTCACAAAGAAGGTGACATGACAAGCGTTAGAGAGGAGAATTTATTGAATCCAAAACCTACGGCGCAGCATTGCAGGCAGAGCCCAGCAAATGTAAAAAGGTCACTCGTGTGCGTGTGCGGCTTGTGTGCACAGCAGCGCAGCGGCAGGAGAGAGTCAGTGAATCACTGTGACGTACTCAGAGGCCGACGAGATCGTATTGCCAAGACTCCACCTGAACAGGAAAGGACCAAGGGGGAAGCAGTCAGTGCTAGACTCCGGAAGGCCGGGTAACAGAGAGTTACCATACACACTGGGACAGAGCATTGTCCCATCGAGCCTCGTATCCCACTCCCTCCGCACCGGCTCTGCCCCCCAGGCCCATAGAGCCTGTTATTCTCATCGTCTCCAGTATCCTGCCTCCTGGTGTGCGGACCAGAACGTAGACTCCTCTCGTCCAGGCTCCGCTTCCAGCAATGGCTTAGGCCTGTTAGCTCACAGAGGCATAAACCCCCCACAATGCACCTGGTCGATCATGAAAATGGTCTGGAAGTTTGCATGTTTCGTTTCACCAGGGCAAGGTGGGTGTGGCACCTGGGCCTGCCCTCCCTTGCACGGGCTCCCTTCCAGTCGATCTTGAGGGCTCCCAGGGTAACACTTTGGTACCTGTTCTACTGCAGGTTCTTGGGAAGCAATGCAGAGCGGGGGCCGACGCTTGGGGCAGAGCAGGGCTCGAACAGTCACCATGTGATGGCTGGGAAGCAAACAGTGGACCAACTCTGCCTAGTCCTTGCTTGGGGTTTTCACCCTGAGCGCTCTTTGCAGACATTGCTGAGTGAAGCCCCACCCGGATCATCATCCCCGTCAGAAGCGCAAGGCCACACTGCTGACAATAAACCTGCTGGCTCCTGGGTCCCAGTCCCACTTCCACTCCACTAGCCCTCGCTGCCTCTGTGGATGTTCGGGTAACTCGGGCTAATGCACGACAGAGAGGACAAAACTAACTGCCCACGCGATGCTCACAGGGGCCCCGCGTCGTCTGTCTTAACGGTGCCAAGCCAGCCGGTCCTGAGCAAAGACAAGGAAAGGGAGCAATTACCTGCCATCAGCTCTTCCTAGTCATCTACCCCCCTCTCGGGGGCCACCAGCTCTCGTTCTCCCTGGTCCCCCAGGTTGCGATTCCTCGTGGACAGCACAAAGGCCGGCCCAGTTTTCTCTATGTGGATCCCTCTGCTGCTGAAGTAGCTCTGCAGGGCACTTAGGAACTGTGGGGGAAACCAGGCCTGAGTCAGCTGGTGCATTAACAAGCTGGGTCCTGCTCACTGCTAGTGCCTGCTCCACAGGGCCCGCGGGGAGCTGCTCCCAGTCCCGGGGAGGAGGGGCTGGACATGGTGCGCCAGGTGGAACAGGGAGCAGCCTGCAGCTCCTGGCTTTGCAAGGTTGCTGGAAGTGAGCAGCTCAGGCCCACAAACCCACTTCCCAGGCCCCTTGCCTCGCTGGAGCTCACCTCCCCTGGGACAGCCAGCCCCAGGGCTCCGATACCGCTCCACCTCGCTGTGTTTGGGGCTGCGCTGCCCTTAGGTTTAGCTTGCTCCTTCTGTTAGTGGTTTTCTCTGTCCAGCAGTGGCCGCCGGGGAGAACGTCCCAAGGGGTAACAGCTCTGGGCTTGAGGTGCCATCTGGGTCTGTTCTCATTGAGTCTGAAGGGGCTTGGCCCGTTCCGATCCCGGGGGCACCCCCCTCACCCGCTTTGTCTGGACGGGACGCTCAGAGTGCTCTCACCGCAGGGCATGGGCCCCCAGCCGCCTCCCAGGGGGACCCTGCGGGGAGCAGCAGAGGGCTCCTTGCACAGTCAGGCTGAGGAGCGGTATCCGCTCCCAGCGGGAGGGCGACAGGCCACGTCCTTGCCCTTCTGTCTCGTACAGACACACACGTTAGCACGTGACCCTTTGCTTTTAGGCCCCCATTGAGCCTGGACTCCCCGGGCGGGGGCTTTACCTGCGCTCCCCCAGACAATGCCTCCTGCAGCCCGGGAGCCGGGCGGCCCTGCAGGGCCCGCCGTGGCATGAGACATTGCGGCGAGAGCGAATTCATCTGGCACCGGTATTGTGGCTCATTAGTGAGGCCCTAATGGGCACTTGAAATGAAACTTCCTGAGCTCCAGAGACGGCAGAGAAAGGCCGAGGCCCCTCTCAAGGGCTTGGCTAATGTAACCTCACCGCAGAGGTATCTCGCTGCCTTCGATCCCAGCCGCCCCCTCCCCAAGCCTGTGTTATGGAAAAGAAAGAGACGCCCCCCCCCCCCCCCGCTCCTCCATATAACAGCTACAAGGGAGACGTGATCAGTTATTCATCAAAAGCCTTTCCACGCCCCTCCCACCCCCCCCCGGTGGTAGTGAGAGCCGCTTCCAGCCCAGCTCAGCTCCGGCATCGTGGGAATGCCATGTGCAAACAGCCTCAGCCCCCTGATCTAGGAGCGAGACCAGCCCCCCAGCTCACCAGTTCTCTGTTCTGCGGCAGGTCCAGCATGCTCCATCTCTCACTCTGCAGGGATCGGTTCTGAACCCAGCCCTGCACCAGCAGGGACAGGAGACCAAGGAAGGTGACTTGAAGCATCAGGTTCATCTCTGGAAATAGCCTTTGCTGGCTGTAACAGAAGAGAACTTGCCATGCTACACCCTGGGGGGTTCTCAGCCGAAGGCTGGCCTGGAGCAGCAGCATCACTCTCCTGGGGGTGCCTGGGCAGTGTGGAACTTGCCCCAGGGGTAGAGAAAAGCCTTGGCACTGAAATCCTCGCACTGCCAGGGAGAGGCAGTGCTACTAAGCCGGACTGAGCCAGAGGAACAGCAGCAGCCCTTTGCCCTGCTGGAATGCCTCCCAGCCAGGAATGAACAGCTCCCTGCGAGGCCCACGGTCACACAGCCGGATGGTGACAGCTCTGGGAGTGGACTCCAAGTCCCTGCTCTGGCCACTACTCCAGACAGACAGGACAGAGTGAACCAAACCTAGGGCAGAATGAGCCCCAGGCCCTCTCCAGGCCACCCACGGGCCTGCTAGGGGCTTTCACCAGGCTCTTCACAGGCACTGTCCACACATGGGACTCAGCCCTGACGTGGGGGAGATTTGTTCACCCCACAGGCAGCGCGGTCACTGGAACCAGGGGGCTGGGACCGAAATGCAGCAAGGCCAGATGCTGCTGGGAGAGGTGGGGCAGCGCATTTCCAGCTTGGTGACCTGGGCAGTTACTGGAGTGAACCTCAGGGCATGTCAGCACAACCCACAGATCTGGGCAGCAGGGCTCACGCCAGCACGCTAAAAAGAGCTGTGCGACTCGACATTGCGGCTCGGGCTGCAGCCTGGGCTTTGAAGCCTGGGGGGAGCATTAAGGGCCGGTCATTTTCTGCCAAGCAGGAATTCCATCCTCAGCGGCAGCAGCTTTGCAGCGAGCGGGCGATTCTGAGCAGCTCTGCATGGACAGGGGGTGGACAGTGGCTATCCCTGTGGCCAGTCCCCTGCCTAACAGGGGTGTGTGTTAGCTCTCTGTTTTTTCATTATTATCCTCCCGTGGCTGCTTGTGGGACCTGCCTGCTTCCGCCTTTCCTGGCTGTGGGCTTTGCTCTCAGCATGGCAGCTTGCCCCAGCACTGCCCCGGAAGACCCTGCATGAAGGTCAGCCGAGCGATGTGATTTGTGTGAGGGGCTGCCGAGTTCTCAGCATCTCCTCCTGGAGCCTTTTAGTGGGAAAAAGTCCTAAAGTTTCCTAAGCACAGAGTCTTTGCTAAACCCTGCAGCCAGCAGGCAGATTCAGCTCAGGGGAAAAAGCAGGGGGGCCCTGCATGTCAAGCAGCTTGCTTTGATTGGAACAGTGGTGAGAAGGACGGGGCCATGAGACAGCAATGAGGTAGCCCCAAAAAGCAGCCAGGCGACCCGGCCCCCCTGTAATTTGAGCACTGCTGCGGGGTTGATAGAGCCGGTTCCAGGAGTCCCCCACCCTGCCGTCCTTTCCTAGGGGAGCGTGGTACTCGGGTGCGCTCTGTCCCCATTACAAATTGGACACACAAAGAGGGCACTTACCTCTGCTCTTTCCTGGCGCTTGCTGTCCTGGCTGCTGAGTGAAGTGTCAGGCAGGCAGCGCGTCCCCTCCTTATATACAACCCCGCGTTCCCAGTGGGTACGTCAGAAAAGAGGGAGCCATCACCCCGCCAAGCTTCCTCCTCTTTCTCAGTGGGTGGTGGGTGGACAGGTATTGTTCGCCAGGCAAGTGGTGTTGGCCTTTGGGAGGACAGCGATGGGGAGGTCTTGCAGTTAATCTTCCACGCTCAGGCTGAATAGGAGCTGGTCACAGGCTCCTTCACTGAGCAGGCAGAAAACGTGAGCGCCCAGTCCCCTGGCACGGGGAAATCAGCCTCCCAGGCCAGAGCAGGGAAGCCTGGGCTCTGGGGACAGTGTCACCGCGACACGCCTTGCCCAGGTAGGTGCAGGTAGCCATTGCCCTGCCAGACTGGCAGCAGAGGGGCACAGCCCTGAGCCCAGGTGGGGCTGGGGGTCTGCCCTCTTCTCCACGCCCCGCGTGACTTGGTTTATTGCAACGCCTGGATTTGGTGCTTGTGAAAGTGAGGGGCCCACAGCGCAAGCAGGTGCCAGGCAAAGCTGGGCAGGGACTGTGCAAGCTACCCATCCCCGGCTCTGCTAGTGCCCCTCAATCCCGACCCGCAGACCCCTGTTATCCCAGCCCTGGGCTCCCCCTTCCCCACAGCTCTGCCAATGGACTGAGACCACTTTCTCGTGGCTTCAGTCCCAACGTTCCAGTCCCAAGGGGAGGGGGCTGGTTACATCTGTATTGCTCTAGGGAGCCGGAGCCTTTTAATGGCCATGGCTCCAGGGTGCAGCGGGAGCAGGGGCGGAGGCAGGTATAGGCACTCACCACCCCCGAGAAGGCTGTTCTGCGGGAGAAACGCACTGGGCCCAGGCTCGGGCCCCAGAACAGACAAACAATAAGAAAAGCAGGAGAGCGCCCATGGGCCAGGTCCTGCCCCTGCTGGGGGTGGGGCTGAGAGCACTGGAACAGCCTCTTCTGCCAACCCCCCAGACCCTGGTCTCTGTTTATGGGAACCTAGCCCACACCTGACCCCTGGAACTGGCGGGGACTCGCTGGCCTGGGGGACACAGGAGCTCAGACTGGCCCCTGTGGCCTGCCAATCCCTAGCCTTTGTTGCTGCCCTTGGAGGCTCTGAAGCATCCTGGCTCAGCTCTGCCCAGCGGGTCGAGTGCCCGGCCATCCTGGAGCAGTTGTTTGTGTTTCCATTTCCCCCTCCCATGGGCTGAATCACGCAGCCCTAGCTGCCCGGCTGCTCACCTGCATCAGCCTCTCGTGGAAGAGACAAACAAGTGGGCCTGGGACACTCTGGCTCTTTGCGGGTCTGCACGGGGAGTCCTGGCTGAGCCCACCCCACGCCCGAGCCCAGCAGCAGGATTAGCACAGCTTCACCCGGTCCTGCCACTCTGTGATCCCTGGAGAGCCCTGGCTGCCGGGCCAGGGCCATGATCGGGCCGGGCATTAACAAGGCACCAGGCAGGACTTTCAGTGCTCGGAGGTGAATGAGGGACTGGTGAATATCCCTCCCTGCCCCCGCCTTCCCATACCTTCCTCCCACACCTCGCTGCTTCAAGGACCCAGGTGACTCCGGCCCCTCCAGCCCCAGCAGGCAGGGGGAAAATGAAAGTGCCAGGGCAGGAGGCCGGAGACGGGGTGAGCCACTAGGGCTGCAGCCGGGCGCCAGGTGGCTAGAGCCTCGCTGCAGAGGCTGAAGCTGACGTGGAATGGGGCCCAGACCGTGCTCGGTTAGCGCCAACCCCAGCCTGCGGTGCCTGGCTCACCGGAGTGTAATGCAACTGCCTGGCTGGCTTTAGTAGAGCGCACCTGCCCATCTGCTGCATGTGCCAGCCTGGGGCTGGTATAACTCGCCTGCCTGGCAGCAGAACATGCCAACAGTGCCCAGCCATCACACCGCTGCCTTGCAGCGGCAGGTGCCGGGGGGATGCCCCCACCCCGCTCCCCCAGCCCGCTGATGTGTTTGCTCTGCCGCCTGTGACAGGCTGGTGCCATGCAACAACTGCTCGGCCTCCGGGCAGAGGGACCCACTGAGGTAAATTCTGAGTCATCCCAGAGCATGACCCCTGGGCCCTTGCACTGCCTGCCCTGAGCCAAGTCTGACCCCGCAGCCACACAGCGAGGAGCAACAGCCCCAGCCCCGTGGAGCGGCCAGGCCAGAGGGACCCACTCAGAGCCAGCTCAGGCTCATCTCCGAACCAGGGGCTCACGAGTCTGCTTCTCACATGCCCAGTAATAAGCAGCCCGTCTATTGCCCGAGCACCTGCCATGCGGCGGGAGCCCCGCGTGCTTTACTGACTCCGGAGATGCAGCTACTCCTGGGGTGGGGCAGAGCAGCCATTCTCCACCCAGGGCACAGCACCAGATTCCTCAGGCAGGGAAGCCCATAGAGACAGCTCCAGCCTTGGTGCGAGAGGAGCTGATGCCACTGGGCTGGGCTGGGCTGTGGCTCCCACACGATGAACCTTCCTTGCAGGAAGCGCGACAGGATCTTCAGGGCCCAGGAGTGGTGAGGACCCAGGTGTAACAGCTCCTCGGACAGAAGGCAGCTCCAGCATCATCCCCTGCGGGGCTGCCAGTCAAGCCGCCCACAGGCTGCATCTCACCCGCTTGGTGCCGTGATGTGGCCCGGGCCCATATTCAGAATCTGAGCATCTAGCCTCTTCTGGTGGCGAAGAAACCCTTCAAAGGTGATCATGACATCTGCCTGTGTCTGCAGAGAGCCTGAAACAAGAGCTCGGCCAAGGGTGAGCTCCCCCATGACCCTCAGTGGGGTGCGTCATGCTGAAGTTCAGCCATGACACACCAGTGGAAGCATCACTCTAGCATTGCTGAGCCCAGGCCTAGAGGGGGCGGTTGTGGGGGGAACTGAAGCCCATGTGGGGGCAGATGGGAGCTGCCATGGGGGAGGAAGGGCAGAGGGAAGAGAGGAGGAATGACGTACAGGACATGGGTTGGGGGGCTGGAGAAGGGAGAGAAGCCGCGAGAGCGGGAGCTTAATGGGGGGAGATTGATACTGCATGGGACAGTCTGGTTCTGGGGCATCAGAAAGGGCAGTTCTCCCCTCGAACATGCCACGGGCACCAGCCCCGCTCTGTGGGAGGAGGGGGGCTAGGAGTGTTTAGTCCCCCACGTATGGCCCAGTGTCACGGAGTCCCTGGGCGATGCTCTGGAACTGCTCCCCATGAAGCCAGTCAGGACTCTGGGGCAGTCGCCTTTCTGTGAGCAGCCTGTCTTCAGGACACACAGCTCACCTGGCTTCCACCTTCCTGGGTCTGACCTCGGAGAATTCAGCATCCTCTGCCCCTCCGTGCGCTTCCCACAGCGAGTCTGCTCAGGCGGGGCTCCTGGGGAAGCCAGAGGGTCCTGCACCCCAACTTCGCAGTCAGACGTGACTCTCAGCCAGCGAGTAACACAGAAGGTTTATTAGACGACAGGAACATGGTCTAACACAGAGCTTGCAGGTGCAGAGAACAGGACCCCTCAGCTGGGTCCATTTTGGGGGGCAGTGAGCCAGACAACCACGTCTGCCCCTCACTCCATGTCTCCAGCCAGCCCCAAACTGAAACTCCCTCCAGCCCCTCCTCCTCTGGGCTTTGTTCCTTTCCTGGGCCAGGAGGTCACCTGATTCTTTTGTTCTCCAACCCTTTAGCTCTCACCTTGCAGGGGGGAAGGGCCCAGGCCATCAGTTGCCAGGAAACAGGGTGTTGGCCATTCTCTGTGTCCAGACTCCTGCACACACCTGCCCTCTAGGGCTCTGCAATGATCATACACCCTTACCCCACCCCTAGATACTTAAGAACTGCCTAGGGGAAACTGAGGCACCCCCACACTATTCAGAGGAAACATTAAGAACAGTCCCACTTTGTCACACCCAGCCCTCAGGAGAAATGAAATACAGCCCTCTGCACCTCCCCGTTCCACTCCTGTGCCCTGCGCCACGCTGGGGAAACGAGCCCAGCGGAGAGACCGGTTGTGACGAAGTGGGACTCTTTAACTTTCTTAACAGCTTTCACTTCATCTGAGACCTTCTCAAAGCTATCCACACTGGATCTTTCAACAGGAAAGTCAGTGGCTTCAGTCACAACAGAAAATTTCTGGCTGTTAGGAACTGCTCACAAACCGGGTAGAATTAGTGGGGGAAGCAAAAGTGGATGGGAATCTGGGAGGCAGTGACCATGAGTTGGTTGAGTTCAGGATCCTGACGCAGGGAAGAAAGGTAAGCAGCAGGATACGGACCCTGGACTTCAGGAAAGCAGACTTCGACTCCCTCAGGGAACGGATGGCCAGGATCTCCTGGGGGACTAACATGAAGGGGAAAGGAGTCCAGGAGAGCTGGCTGTATTTCAAGGAATCCCTGTTGAGGTTACAGGGACAAACCATCCCGATGAGTCAAAAGAATAGTAAATATGGCAGGCGACCAGCTTGGCTTAATGGTGAAATCCTAGCGGATCTTAAACATAAAAAAGAAGCTTACAAGAAGTGGAAGGTTGGACATATGACCAGGGAAGAGTATAAAAATATTGCTCGGGCATGTAGGAATGATATCAGGAGGGCCAAATCGCACCTGGAGCTGCAGCTAGCAAGAGATGTCAAGAGTAACAAGAAGGGTTTCTTCAGGTATGTTGGCAACAAGAAGAAAGCCAAGGAAAGTGTGGGCCCCTTACTGAATGAGGGAGGCAACCTAGTGACAGAGGATGTGGAAAAAGCTAATGTACTCAATGCTTTTTTTGCCTCTGTCTTCACGAACAAGGTCAGCTCCCAGACTGCTACGCTGGGCATCACAACATGGGGAGTAGATGGCCAGCCCTCTGTGGAGATAGAGGTGGTTAGGGACTATTTAGAAAAGCTGGACGTGCACAAGTCCATGGGGCCGGACGAGTTGCATCCGAGAGTGCTGAAGGAATTGGCGGCTGTGATTGCAGAGCCATTGGCCATTATCTTTGAAAACTCGTGGCGAACGGGGGAAGTCCCGGTTGACTGGAAAAAGGCTAATGTAGTGCCAATCTTTAAAAAAGGGAAGAAGGAGGATCCTGGGAACTACAGGCCAGTCAGCCTCACCTCAGTCCCTGGAAAAATCATGAAGCAGGTCCTCAAAGAATCAATCCTGAAGCACTTGCATGAGAGGAAAGTGATCAGGAACAGCCAGCATGGATTCACCAAGGGAAGGTCATGCCTGACTAATCTAATCGCCTTTTATGATGAGATTACTGGTTCTGTGGATGAAGGGAAAGCAGTGGATGTATTGTTTCTTGACTTTAGCAAAGCTTTTGACACAGTCTCCCACAGTATTCTTGTCAGCAAGTTAAGGAAGTATGGGCTGGATGAATGCACTATAAGGTGGGCAGAAAGCTGGCTAGATTGTCGGGCTCAACGGGTAGTGATCAATGGCTCCATGTCTAGTTGGCAGCCGGTGTCAAGTGGAGTGCCCCAGGGGTCGATCCTGGGGCCGGTTTTGTTCAATATCTTCATAAATGATCTGGAGGATGGTGTAGATTGCACTCTCAGCAAATTTGCGGATGATACTAAACTGGGAGGAGTGGTAGATACGCTGGAGGGGAGGGATAGGATACAGAGGGACCTAGTCAAATTGGAGGATTGGGCCAAAAGAAATCTGATGAGGTTCAATAAGGATAAGTGCAGGGTCCTGCACTTAGGACGGAAGAACCCAATGCACAGCTACAGACTAGGGACCGAATGGCTAGGCAGCAGTTCTGCGGAAAAGGACCTAGGGGTGACAGTGGACGAGAAGCTGGATATGAGTCAGCAGTGTGCCCTTGTTGCCAAGAAGGCCAATGGCATTTTGGGATGTATAAGTAGGGGCATAGCGAGCAGATCGAGGGACGTGATCGTTCCCCTCTATTCGACATTGGTGAGGCCTCATCTGGAGTACTGTGTCCAGTTTTGGGCCCCACACTTCAAGAAGGATGTGGATAAATTGGAGAGAGTCCAGCGAAGGGCAACAAAAATGATTCGGGGACTGGAACACATGACTTATGAGGAGAGGCTGAGGGAGCTGGGATTGTTTAGTCTGCAGAAGAGAAGAATGAGGGGCGATTTGATAGCTGCTTTCAACTACCTGAAAGGGGGTTCCAAAGAGGATGGCTCTAGACTGTTCTCAATGGTAGCAGATGACAGAACGAGGAGTAATGGTCTCAAGTTGCAGTGGGGGAGGTTTAGGTTGGATATTAGGAAAAACTTTTTCACTATGAGGGTGGTGAAACACTGGAATGCGTTACCCAGGGAGGTGGTAGAATCTCCTTCCTTAGAGGTTTTTAAGGTCAGGCTTGACAAAGCCCTGGCTGGGATGATTTAACTGGGAATTGGTCCTGCTTCGAGCAGGGGGTTGGACTAGATGACCTTCTGGGGTCCCTTCCAACCCTGATATTCTATGATTCTATGAAACTTTCTTGATTAAATCACTTTCAGACCCTTCAGTTGCAGTAAACTGCTTGCAAAGACTCCATGAGGATTCCTTTCCCTAGGGCTTTTCTATGCAACAATTCACCCTTCACAGAAATTCTGCTCTTACCCTCTTTACCTAGGGCTTGCTCTAGTGGAACACTTTCCTGAGCAACAACAGACTCTTTCTGGGTCTCCCTTACATCCAGAATTACCTCTGGCCCATCCGGCGGATTCCTACACAATCCCCTTTCAGGCAAACTCACAGACTTCCTAGATAAAAGGTCAGAAGCATTCTCCTTCCCTTTGCCACACAAAAGTTCACAAATCTTTTCCTTCTTGCTACAGGTTTCCACACCCTCAGTAAATAACAAGATCACATCACCTTCATGCTCTCCTTGTGCCCTGGCTAGGATCTCACCCTGATTAGACAGAGTTGCTACACCCTTTCCCAACAACACACTAGCAACAGGCAAAATACAAGCACCAGAATTGTCGGGTCTCTGGGTTTTTACATAGACACTAACTGGATGTGACTTAGTTACAGGGCCATTCTCCTGAGCAGGCTTAGGACCCTTCCCTTCCTGGGCTTTAGCTGAATCCAGAACCAGCTCTGGGACAACTGCACGACCCTCAACCATCACGGGCTGAAAGGCCCCTTCTGTCTGCTCCACAGACAAAGAAGAGCCGGACACACTTTCTCCTTTCCCAGACACCCAGCTTGGGATCTCTTTCCCCTTGTCCCATCACACAAGGCTGGTCACAGACAACTGCTTGGAGATCAGGGTAGCTCCCTCCATAGGCAAGTCAATACCCCTGACAGACACAGACACATTTCCTTCCCTGTCACAGTTCTCCACCCAGCTAACAGGTAAGGTCCAGGGACACTCCTCTTCCACTCTCCTCGCCTTCCCACCCTGCTGACTAGACAAAGCCATCAGCTCACAAGGTTGCCTAGGTTCATCCAGACTTTCCTTACCGAGCACCTTCCACTCCCCACAGATCCCCTGCCCGGCTTGTGTCTCCCCCTACTCAGCTTGGGTCTCAGCTCCCACTGTGCTCAGCGCTGCCCTTGCTGTCCCAGTGGGGGTAGGCAGCGAGCTCGCTGCTTTCCTCCCTGCATCAGAGCCAGCGTGAGCCCCCTCTCCGGTGTGCAAAGGGGGGCGGGGAGCCCGGGGGGTCTGGTTACAGGCAGGCAGGTAGCCTGAGCCTAGAGGCTCCTCCCTGCTGCCAGCCAGGTCATCTGCATTTTCACTGACCGTTTCCCTCTCCACCGATTAGTTCCCTGGATTCAAATTCAAACCCTTGGCAGTTACCGGAGCAGGGCCTGGATCCTGTCCCAAAGAGACACAGTCACCCCACAACAGGATCTCGCAGCTTGTATCCTGGAGAACCCCAATGGCCAGCCAGCCCCACCCCTCCTGGGTCTGCACAGGGATCTGGGCCATAGTGAGGGCGAGGGGCTTCATCCCTGGGACCCTCACCCAGCTCACCCTAGTCCCTCAGCATCTGAGGCTGCACCACCCAGGGCCTGACAACAGTTCTCTCCGTCCCAGGATCTCGCCACCCTAGGAAAGTCTCCCCATTGACCATCACCTTCCGCTCCCACTGGAGGTCCGAAGGGCCTGGCCCAAGGAAACTCCACACAGACATATAGGTTGGGGTCAGGAGTGGGAGCTTGTCTACCTCCCCACCCATCTGGCTGATGGAGTCTATGGCCTTGGGACTCAGCAAGGGAGCTAGACTCCGGGGCTTTTCCGCAGGGTCTCCCTGGTTCAAATCGCCAGCCTGCTCAAAGGCAGTGAGGTGGCATCCACATCCCCCCCCCTCCCCAACCAGGGGCAGCAATTTAGCCTCGAGGTTCCCTGCAGAACTGGCCCCCTGGGGTCTATCCCCACTCACCCCTGGGAGGTCCCCTAACCCTCTCTGCTCCACCACTGCCAGTTCATGCTGCTGCTGCTTCTACCCCCTGGGGTTTTGGGGTGGCCAAAGGGCATGGGCTGCATAAACCTTCCCACATGTGGCCTGCGAGTGCTATCGACCACCCCCGACCTAAGGGAGGGCGTGAAACTGGAAGGGCCTGGTGTAACTCCCCACCAAGGAATGGGAGAGATGCTGGGGCATCCATGGGAACGTTGGTGGCTTCAAACTTCCCCAGGTCACCGGCTAAAGTGACCCTGCTCAGTTCGATCTCAAAGGGGGGAGAGATGTGACAAAGTGGGACTGTTCTTAATGTTTCCTCTGAATAGTGTGGGGGTGCCTCAGTTTCCCCTAAGCAGTTCTTAAGTATCTAGATGGTGGGTGTCACGGAGTCTCTGGGCGATGCTCTGGAACTGCTCCCCATGAAGTCAGTCAGGACTCTGGGGTAGTCGCCTTTCTGTGAGCAGCCTGTCTTCAGGACACACAGCTCACACAGCTTCCACCTTCCTGGGTCTGACCTCGGAGCATTCAGCATCCTCTGCCCCTCCGTGCGCTTTCCCCCAGCGAGTCCGCTCAGGCGGGGCTCCTGGGGAAGCCAGAGGGTCCTGCACCCCAACTTTGCAGTCAGACGTGACTCTCAGCCAGCCAGTAAAACAGAAGGTTTATTAGACAACAGGAACATGGTCTAAAACAGAGCTTGCAGGTGCAGAGAACGGGACCCCTCAGCTGGGTCCATTCTGGGGGGCAGTGAGCCAGACAACCACGTCTGCACTTCACTCCATGTCCCAGCCAGCCCCAAACTGAAAACCCCCTCCAGCCCCTCCTCCTCTGGGCTTTGTTCCTTTCCCGGGCCAGGTGGTCACCTGATTCCTTTGTTCTCCAACCCTTTAGCTCTCACCTTGCAGGGGGGGAAGGGCCCAGGCCATCAGTTGCCAGGAAACAGGGTGTTGGCCATTCTCTGTGTCCAGACTCCTGCACACACCTGCCCTCTAGGGCTCTGCAATGATCATACACCCTTACCCCACCCCCTAGATACTTAAGAACTGCCTAGGGGAAACTGAGGCACCCCCACACTATTCAGAGGAAACATTAAGAACAGTCCCACTTCGTCACAGTGGGGTAAGGGTGTATGATCATTGCAGGGCCCTAGAGGGCAGGTGTGTGAAGGGGTCTGGACACAGAGAATGGCCAACACCCTGCTTCCTGGCAACTGATGGCCTGGGCCCTTCCCCCCCTGCAAGGTGAGAGCTGAAGGGTTGGAGAACAAAGGAATCAGGTGACCTCCTGGCCCGGGAAAGGGACAAAGTCCAGAGGAGGAGGGGCTGGAGTGAGTTTCTGTTTGGGGCTGGCTGGGACATGGAGTGAAGTGCAGACGGGGCTGTCTGGCTCACTGCCCCCCAAAATGGACCCAGCTGAGGGGTCCTGTTCTCTGCACCTACAAGCTCTGTTTTAGACCATGTTCCTGTCGTCTAATAAACTTTCTGTTTTACTGGCTGGCTGGGAGTCACGTCTAACTGCGGAGTTGGGGGGCAGGACCCTCTGCGTTCCCCAGGAGCCCTACCTGGACGGACTCGCTTTGGGAAGCGCACGGAGGGGCAGAGGATGCTGAATGCTCCGAGGTCAGACCCAGGAAGGTGGAAGCTGGGTGAGCCGTGTGTCCTGCAGACAGGCTGCTCCCAGAAAGGCGACTGCCCCAGAGTCCTGCCTGGCTTCATGGGGAGCAGTTCCAGAGCATCGCCCGGGGACTCCGTGACACCGGTGCCTGCAGCACCAGCCCTTGCTGCAACCTGGGGGGTCTCCCATGGGGGGGCACAGAGAGAGCAGGGGTTCAGGGGGAGCAGAGGAGACAGGAGCTAATGCTGAGGCCCTTCCGGCAGCGTGGTTCACGCCAGTGAGCTGCTGCTCCAAGCTGACTGGCGCATGAAGGTGGCTGTGCCCACTGGGCTCAGTGCCACATGTAAGGACCACGTGTCACGGAGTGTGGGGGAGTCCAGGCCCTGCCCCCCTCTTCCTGGGATCCACTGAGACTCTCAGCCAGCCAGTAAAACAAGGTTTATTGGACAACAGGAACACAGTCCCCAACAGAGCTTGTGGGTACACCCAGGACCCCTCAGTCACGTCCTTCTGGGGGAGCAGGGAGCTTAGACCCCAGCCCCGGGGTTCCCTGTGTTCCTCCACCCAGCCCCAAACTGAAACTAAACCCCCCCAGCAGGTTCCCTGCTGCAGTCTCCGTCCACATTCCTGGGCAGAGGTGTCACCTCCCCGTCCCCCTCCTGGCTCAGGTGACAGGCTCTCAGGTCTCCCATCCCCAGGGCACATTCCCAGGTCAACACTCCCCCCTCCCTGCTGGGTCACACCAGGATTCCTCACACACCAGTCTGGGCATCGGGTATTGCCCAGCGGCTGCTGACACAGGGAAGATGGAGCAGCATTGGCAGGTTGAAATGCCTGAGGGGGGCTACAGCTCGAGCTTTAAATGCCCTAGCTTGGCCTTGTCTTCACGCCCTACTCCAGAAGGCAGATGGCAGGACTTCGGCCCAACAGGGGAGACTTTGTGACCTGCCTTTGGGGGACCAGGTTTAACATAGAGACCAGTGAACTACAGCTCGCACTGGGAGAGCAGCAAGGGGTGGGGGTGGCAGACCTCCCCATGCCCAGGCAGGGCCCAGCACTGCCCCAGGCTGCCATGGGGGCTAGACTGGCTGGTGGGATTTGCATCCCCCAACTGTCAGCATGATCCTCTCACGCCGGCTGGGGAGGTGCATGGGGATGGCTGGGAGTCCCTGACACTTCACCGCAGTGATTGTGGCACCTGGCAAGGTGTCCCAGGGTCCCAGTCCCATCCACCCCCAAGACAGACGCAACCTGAGCAGGGCTCGCTGCCCTAGCTCCTTCCCACATACCCCCCCAGCCTGCCCCCCCTTGCAGCAGCCACCCAGGGCAGTGCAAACTACAGGGCGCAGCGGTGGGGTGGACGGAGCCAGGAGCCGTGCGGGGAGCAGACAAGTTTATTGGGGCCCCGTGGCAGGGTCACGTCCCCACTGGGGGGGAGCACAGCCCACCTGTACAAACTCAGGGCAATGTGAGGGCTGCTTCACTCCGAACCCCTCCTCGTTCTGGGACGGCCATGCTGCTCCCCCTCACACCCGGTCGCCCTGGGCCTCGCCCGCAGAGAACACGAACTTGTGCATGGCGCGGACGTACTCTGAGCCGTCAGGGCTTGTCAGCTTGAGCCGGGTGAGCGGCATGAAGAACTGGGTGGTGAAAGAGCGCAGAGGGGGGCAGGGGGTGCAGATGGCGTCCAGGAACACCTGGGAAAAGCAGAGAGGGGGCACATGAGGGACAGCTCCAAGCTGGCGGTAGGCAGGGGACCTCTTGGGGGCTGGGGATCCCCTCGCTGAGGGGCAGGAGGCTCAGCTGACAGGAAGAGCAGGGCCATGTCAGCATAACAGGGCCAGAGCCCTGCCTGGGACTGTACAGACCCTTCCCCTGTCCAGGGAGCAGCCCCACCTTAGGCCCCTGTGGGCAGAGAGGGCTGCGCCAGGCTCCCCGCCCTCATGCTCCCTGGGAAAGGGGGCAGGGACAGGTCCCAGCCAGTCCCCCTTGCCCCAGCAGGCACTGTGAAGTCAGGGGGTGGCTGCACCCTGTCACGGCCGATTCATGGCTCTTCTCCCCAGGGCTAGATTGCTCTGCGGGGACCCCTCCTTGGCACTCTGGCTGCTCTGGGGCTCAGGGCTTGCCTCAGCCCCTGGCCCTGGCCCTTTCCCCTCCCCTGGGCAGAGAAGCGGGGGGCTGGGAGCGACCTGCAGGACCTCCTCAGTGTCTTGGGCCACGTCGCGGAAGAGGCTCTGGCTGTGCTGGAGGTACTGGCTGTACAGGGCACAGGTCTGCGGGTCCAGGCCTTGCAGCACGCAGCCCTCGGTGTCCATGCGCTGCAGGTTGGCCAGGAAGCTCGTATTGACTGGGCCGCACTCAATCAGCGTGATGCTGCGGGAGGAGAGAGCAGAGACGGGGACAGCTGTCTGTGCAGACAGAGCCAGCACGCCCCACCCTGCCCAGGGGCAGAGCCCCCAGTGACACCCTACAAGCACACACAGAGGAGCTTTCACCCCCAGGCCCTGGGCACTCGGCCTCTTGAGCCAGTTCTGCAATATGGCCCCCAGGAGCTGGAGGGGTGTGTGTGACGGGGACAGGCCCAGAGGCGGGGAGAGCACAGCCGTTACATGCTAGGGCCGAGGATGGTGGCATGTTGGACTTGCTGGCGCACAGACGTCTCCAAGCCACCCAGATTTCCCCTCCGTAGCCGGCCGCGGTGCGAGCGGTGCTGGAACTGGAATGCTGCGTGCAGGTCTGGGGCGAGCGTTGTGTGGAGACCTTGGGGAGGTGGCAGGAAAGAGCCACAAAAGCGATTCCAGGGCTGGAGACGATGCTGCACAGGGCGAGGGACCGAGCCCAGGCTGGTCAGCTTCCCAGAACGGTGACTGAGCGGGGACTAGGACAGCGCGGCAGGACCTTCCCGGGGAGAAAATGTGGGCTCCCTAAGCTAGCTGAGAAAGGCAGAACAGGAACCAGCAGCTGGAAGCTGAAGCCAGATGAATTCCAGTTAGAATTAAGGCAGCGGTTTGTAACCGGGCGGGTGACTGACCACTGGAACAAGCTCCCCAGGGCACTGGTGGGTTCTGTCTCCTGGGGTCTGCAGACCCAGACTGGTGCCTTTCTGGGCAATGCTTTAGTCAGACCCCAGCTCTTGAGCTCAGGACAGGGGAACCGGGGGATTCTCTGGCCTGTGCCATGCAGGAGGCCAGACCAAACAATCTAACAGTCCCTCCTGGCCTTAAACTCCAGGAATGGATGAACGCCAGCGATTCGGGTGTTTCCATCCTCTTGCCTGGAACTGCCCCTGCACTGTCAATTGGCTGCAGGATTATTCTTCCCTTTGTCACGGAGTCCCTGGGCGATGCTCTGGGACTGCTCCCTACGAAGCCAGGCAGGACTCTGGGGAAGTCTCCTCTCTGGGAGCAGCCTGTCTGCAGGACACACAGCTCACCAGGTTTCCACCTTCCTGGGTCTGACCTCGGAGCATTCAGCATCCTCTGCCCCTCCGTGCGCTTCCCACAGCGAGTCCGCTCATGCGGGTGTGACGATGAGACGCAGCAGGGAGGGGGGAGTGTTGACCGGGGAATGGGCCCTGGGGAGGGGAGACCTGAGACCCTGTCACCTGAGCCAGGAGGGGGAGGGGGAGGGGGAGGTGACACCTCTGCCCAGGAATGTGAACAGAGGCTGCAGGAGGGAGCCTGCTGGGGGGGTTAGTTTCAGTTTGGAGCAGGGTGGAGGAATGCAGGGAACCTCAGGGCTGGGGTCTAAGCTTCCTGCTCCCCCAGAAGGACTTGACTGAGGGGTCCTGCTTGTACCCACAAGCTCTGTTTTGGACTGTGTTCCTGTTAATAAACCTAATAAACCTTCTGTTTTACTGGCTGGCTGAGAGTCTCAGTGAATCCCAAGAAGAGGGGTGCAGGGCCTGGACTCCCCCACACTCCGTGACAGCAGGGTCCTGGGGAAGCCAGAGGGTTCTGCCCCCCAACTTCGCAGTCAGACGGGACTCTCAGCCAGCCAGTAAAACAGAAGGTTTATTAGATGACAGGAACATGGTCTAACACAGAGCTTGTAGGTGCAGAGAACAGGACCCCTCAGCTGGGTCCATTTTGGGGGGCAGTGAGCCAGACAACCACGTCTGTACTTTTTAAGGTCAGGCTTGATAAAGCCCTGGCTGGGATGATTTAGATGGGGATTGGTCCTGCTCTGGGCAGGGGGTTGGAGTAGATGACCTCCAGAGGTCCCTTCCAACTCTGATATTCTATGATTCACACCATGTCCCAGCCAGCCTCAAACTGAAACTCTCTCCAGCCCCTCCTCCTCTGGGCTTTGTCCCTTTCCCGGGCCAGGAGGTCACCTGATTCCTTTGTTCTCCAACCCTTTAGCTCTCACCTTGCAGGGGGGAAGGGCCCAGGCCATCAGTTGCCAGGAAACAGGGTGTCGGCCATTCTCTGTGTCCAGACCCCTGCACACACCTGCCCTCTAGGGCTCTGCAAGGACCATACAACCTTATCCCACCCCCTAGATACTTAAGAACTGCCTAGGGGAAACTGAGGCACCCCCACACGATTCAGAGGAACTGTTAAGAACAGTCCTGCTTCGTCACACTCTTTCCGTCCCAAACTACTGAGCAATAGCACTAGGTTACAGCTGCCTTGTTCCACCCCAGAGGTGGCTGCAGGGCAGTGAGTGCTAGCGACAGGTATAAAGTCCTTTGCATGGCCTCAGGCCTGTTCACTGTGAGCTCCCCGCGGTACTCACTGCACATTGAACTGCTGCAGGATCACAGCCAGGCTCTCACACAAACCTTCCACGGCAAACTTGCTGGCGCAGTACACGGCGTTGAAGGGGATCCCTTGGGCACAGCAGGAGGGACGGGTGAGAACCAGCAGGGAGACCCAGGCCAGCTCCTCCCAGACAGACCCCAGGAGCTCAGATGTTATACTGGGCCCCACTTTTCACCCCTAGGAGGAGGGATTTGCAAGGCTACGTAGGTACCCACAGGCCATGGGGTGCGGGCAGCATCACAGAACACATGCATGGCTGTCCTGGTGCGTGCACACGTCAGGGGAGCTGCTCCCCAATCCCCGCCTCGCCACAGCAGCTGCTCGAGCTCTTTGTGAGAGGCCCAGTCTCCCCAGGGTCCTTGGTGGACGGTGAGGCCATGCATGGCTGGAATCTCCCCAAGAAGGGTGGGGCCGGGACCCCACAGGCTGCAGTGAGGGGCAGATGAGTGCAGTGAGCAGGCACCTGGGGAGAGGGTCGCTGGGTTCCACAGGGACAGGGCTTCTGACCAAGCCTGGCCTGGGAGGTACCTCCCCCATGGGGCAGGGGGGTCTCTCACCTTGCAGTGCCCCCACACTGCTGGAAATGATGATCTTGCCAGCCTTGCGGCGCTTCATGCCGGGTAGAAAGGCCTGGATGGTGCCAATGGTCCCAAACACGTTCACATCGAAGATGGTCTTCATGGCCTGGTAGGAGCAGGTCTCCAGGGGGCCCATCAGCCCCACCCCGGCATTGCACACTGGGGGTGGGGCACAGCAAGGAGCCACTGTTAGTGGGGTGCAGGGAAGGGAGCTCCCTGGGGCCCACGTCCCCCTCAGCACCAGCCCCATGTATTCAAAAACAAGTCAGCCCCCAAAACATCATGAAATTGGCTTAGAAATCTGAAGCATGGTGCTCTGGTCACGGGCTTTTGGGGGCTGAGCCCTTAGATCTTACCTGTCCCAGTGGCCACCCTGACACCAGGGCTGGACACTTCGGTTTCTTTTGCAGTGAGAAGCGTGATTCTCTCCCAGTCACGGGACAAACCCCAGGGACGGCAGGAGCAGCAGGACTGGACATTATCCCCTTCTGTGTGGTGGGGGGCGAGGGGGGCCTAGGGCCTCACTGGCCCTCCCCACATTGCTCTGGGGGCCTCCCTTTCCCTCAGAGGCTCTGCAGGGCCCATGGGCAGATCCCAGGGGCAGCCCCTCGAGGAGCTGGCTAGTGGGGTCTCAGCTGTGCAACCCCCCAGACCTGTCACACATGGCAAACCTGGCAGCTGGAGGGGAACCTGGCAGATCTCCCTTGGTGCCCAGCAGGTGGGGAGAGGCAATGGGCTGGCTGGGTAACTAGGCCCCTTTCCCAGGGCGGGCCCAGGGGGGCGGGACGGAAGCTGGGGCAGGGTCGAGGAGCGTGGGGCTTGCAGAGATGCCTGGCCAGACTGGCTCACCCAGCACGTCGACACGCTGCTCCTGCACCTGCTGCGCGGCTGCAGCGAGCGAGAGCGGGTCGGTGACATCCAGCTGCAGGATCTCCAGGGTGCTGGCGTGGCAGCCCCTCACGCACTCCAGCAGCCGCTCCTTCTTGGCCAGGTTGCGCATGGTGGCGTAGACTAGGAGAGAACAAGTGCCCGGCTTTGGGGTGGGGGCTGCTTGCAATCCCCCCCAGCCACTGGGCAGTTGGCAGCGGATCTTCTCTGCCTCCAGGGGAGGCCCCCCACTCTGGTGAGTACAAAGACCCTCCTGATATGGGCGGCTCCAGCAACTCCAGAGGACAAAGGCTCTGCTGTGGATTGCACCATGCAAGTGTCTTCTGAACGTCCCCCCCCCCCCCGCCCCCCAGGAGATACCTTGGGCCCATGCTCCCCTCAGACCGAAGGCTCATCCTGGCCAGTTCAGCCCATCTGCTGGCCCCAAGGGGCTAACTCCCTCCAGGGCCACGCAGGAGCAGAGCGAGTGACTCAGTTCCCCCACCTCCTGGGATGCAGCAGATCTCTAGGGAGCCCCATCTGCATGGACCAGGAGCAGCTGCTGCCCCACAAGTGCTCAGGACCCCAGCCAGCTCACCACCAGGCACGTGCTGGGACTAGACACCCCTTGTGCTGCCTGACACTACATGGCTCCAAGTCACCTCTCCTCCCCCAGGCTGCGACCTGCCCAGGACCATTTCCTCTTCTCCTCCCCTCTGGCCCCAGGGAGTTTATTCTGCTGAGACTGCTTGGAAGGGAGTAGCCTGGCTGCCCCATTGGTTTCTCTCTTAGGGGGCCTGTACGCCATTACCTTTAAAGGCGTGTGTATCCCGTCGGCCCCACCATGCCCGGCCCCACAGCATCCCCCATCTCCAGCCCACAGCTAGTACTCCCATCCCTTGGGGCTGAGGAGCCCACCTCCTTCCCAGCTGAGGAACACGTATCTGCCGGCCCCTCGTCCGCCCATTGCACTGGAGCGCACCAGCCATGGGGTCAGGACTGGCTCCAGCTCACGGCTCTATGAGCCTGGGGAGTACCTTTAAACCGGCAGGAGGCGTCCGAGGCCAGGCGCACAGCCAGCCCCAGGCCGATCCCCGAGGAGCAGCCTGTAATGAGCACCACGGTTTTCTCCATCGCTGGCTCTGGCTCGGAGACTGAGCATCCAATGCAGCTGCGACGCCTGCTTCCCGCAGACAGCCCATGGGCTGTGGGCTCTGCTATTTTGTCTACTTTCTTATCTCAAGGCTGGGCTCTCCCCCATCCCTCCTCCACCCCCAGCAGAGCTTCCCTTTTGCCTTCACTCTCAGCAAGCTGAGAGATAAGATTTCAGCAGAGAGGGCACGGCTGAGGCCCCAAGCAGGGGAGGGGTGTGGCGGGGCAGGGGCAGGCTGTTTGCAGGAGGCGACAAATGGCCTCACCCCGTCCCAGGACACGGACTTAAAGGGCTGTAACAGCCTCAGGCAGCCATGGTTAGCAGTGGGGTGGGGGGTTGACAGGTAGGAATTGGGGCCAGCAGAAACCCCTGGACTCAGCCTGATCCTTCCCCATGGGACAGGGCCAGAGCAGGATCGCTCCATGTGCTCTCCACCATTTCGTCCAAACCCCTATTAACACCAGCGCCCCAGCCAAGGAGCTTCCACTCCTCCCCTTGGAGCCACCAAAGCCTGGCGAAAATGGAGAGATGGCCCAGCTGCTGCTTCCCCCATCCACTTGGCCAGTGACCCTGCCAAAGAAGGAAATTCAGCTGGTTTGGCAAATCCATGCTGGCTAGTCCTTGTTATCCACCAGGTGCTTACACATGCATTGTTTAGTCATTTGTTCCAGTCCCTTTCCAGGGATCGAAGTTGGGCTGACTGGCCTGTATCACAGAATATCAGGGTTGGAAGGGACCTCAGGAGGTCATCTAGTCCAACCCCCTGCTCAAAGCAGGACAAATCCTCAATTTTTGGCCCAGATCCCTAAATGGCCCCCTCAAGGATTGAACTCACAACCCTGGGTTTAGCAGGCCAATGCTCAAACCACTGAGCTGTCCCTCCCCCCTGTAGTGCCCTGGCACTTCATTGGTCCCCTTCCTAAAGATGGCAAATGTCAAAGCCTTCTCCAGTCCTCTGGGACCGAACTGGAGGGAAGAAGCGACTGGTCCAGGGGCATCCAAAGCCAGGCCCCTGCAGTTGCTCATTTAAGACCCACAAAAGGGTATCTTGGCCATGAACCTCAAGCCAAACTCCACCGGCATGGAGCCCCCAGAGCTCCAAGGGCAGAGCTGAGTCCCGCAGTGAGGAACAGCTGCCTGGCTGCAGACAGCCTGGCCGGGATGCGCCGTGTTGTGACTGCCTGCAGCTGTGAACTCCAGCCTCTGGCTGTTCTCAGAGACCTGCTCCGATTCACAGCTGCCACCCTCCTCGCCCCGCTGGGCACAGCGCCAAGAGCCACATCGCCCTCTGTCAATAATGCCGGGAGGGGATGAGGAAGAGACACCCCCAGACGCGGAACGAACGGCTGCCAGGGCTTTAATTGGCAGGCACAGTACGGGCATCAGAGCCTCCGAAAAGTGCTTCCAGTTCAAACCAACTTACGCAATCGTATGAAAATCATTCGGCTAGAAGAGAGAGAGTCCACGGCAGCCCAGCCCCCGCGCTCCGGCTGCACCTCTCGTGCCCCGAGACTGCAAGCAGGTGCAAGGAGGAATTCAGACATGTGCCAGCTCTCCTTAGGAGCCTCACAGGCCGGTGCGGGAAGGGGGCAAGGCACAGAGCAGCACTCTGGGTGGAGGGGGGCGAGTGGGGGGGGTCTCTGGTGTAAAAATATACTGTCCTCATAAAAATATATTCCCAAAGTCTGTTTTTCCTTTAGTACAAAGGCACAGAGGGGGTTCAGAGTGGGGAGCCGGCCCCCATCCGGACAGGTCCTGGCACTAGGAATAACCCCACGTGGGTGAGCTGCTGTTCTGGGGCAGATCTGCCCCCATTTGAGACCAACAGAGAGGGCACGTGGGGAGAAGAGTGGGGACAGCCCTTAGAACTGCTCTGACACCCAGGGGCTGGGAGGGGGCAAAGGGGGGACAGGAGTTGAGGCAGCACCCCCTAGCCAGGGACAGATGGGAGCTGCGGGCAATGCAATGCCTCCTCCTAGCCCTGGGCAGGGGGCAAGATTCGCAGGGACCCGGCTGCAGTGCGCACTTTGCAACGGCAGGATTGGGGCTTTCCGGCCTCCCTGGTTTTTGTTCTTTAGACCCCTGAATAGCAGCATGTTCACACTCCCCTCCCCGGACAGAGAGACTCTTCCCCTGGGCTTGCGAGGGTCCCGCTGCATTTCCCGCCCCGGGTCTGTTCAGAAGCGATTCCCTCCTCTGAGAGCCTCCCCAAACCTTGCAGCTGCCAGTGGTGGGGAAATGGGACTTGGGGGTTTTTCAGCCTACAGCAGCGAGGGCATCACCTACAAGGCGGGCACTGCCCACATGTGCCCATTCCAGATCTGCACCCAGCACCATGGTATCCCAGCGTCTATCCCTGCCCCCTTCTGCAAATCCCATGCCCCCAGGGGATCAGCACTCTCACCCTCCGTCCTCCCTGCCCCTGCAACAGGCCCCGTCCACCCTCCGCCCCACAATCCAGCGGCCTCCCCCAGACACTGGGATCAGCCTCCAAGCCGCAAGGCTGGGCCGATGGAGACGCTGGTCAGGTCAGAGCATCCCAGCTCCCCGAGGGTCAGTGCAGGATCGGTCCCTCCAGCCCTTTCCCCAGGAGCTCATTCCCCAGCTCGCCGTGCTGCACTGGTGGGTCCAGCCCAGTCCCGCTCCTGCCCACAAGGCAGCGTGGCTCACACACAGCGCAAGGCTCCTGCTTGGTTTCCCTTTGGGTCCACGGCCTTGGTTCAGGCTCTGGCAGAGGCTTGGGGGGGTAGGACGGGGAACCACCCTCTCCGGCGTGGGAGAGGCCGGGCCAGCCGCAGAGACGCCGTTCCCACCCCCCCAGAGCCACCAGCCGCCCTCATGCGGCCCCCACCCGGCCGCGCCGCATGGCACGGGGGTAATACTTGAGGAAGATCTTCCTGACGATCTCCAGCGTGTCGCCGGCCGGCTGGGAGGGGTAGCGCTTGCCGTTGTAGATGAAACCCCGCTCCAGCTGGAAGACGGCCTGGTTGAACTGCTCCTGGTGGAAGGGGGTGCCGGTGGTCAGGCTCTCCACCAGCGCCGAGACGAAGAGGCTCCAGCGAACCCGGTAATAGTCCAGCACCAGCCCCCCGAGCTGCTTGTTGGCGTAGTCCAAGATGTTGCCGTTGGGCCCCCACAGCGTCACCTGGTTGCGGGCGTTCAGGTCGTACAGCTCGGCTTCCCTGTCGCTGGTGGCTGCGGCGCGAGCCTGCTCCAGCCAGCGGCCCAGCAGGAAGTGGGGGTCACTGGCCAGGAGGCCGTCCAGCGCCGGGAGCAGGTCGTACAGCAGCACCCCGCCGGCCGTCAGCAGCTCCGGCAGCGAGCGGCTCTCGAAGGCCCGCTTGATCTCCAGGTAGTACTCGCTCACCAGCTGCTGCGCGGCCTGCCGGGTTACGTCCACCAGGTCGTAGCGGAAGGCGGGGCTGGTGCCCAGCTCGGCAGCAGCGCCCAGCAGCAGGCGCCAGGCCTCGTAGACGTCGCTCGTGTTGTACCACAGGCCCGTGGCCATGCGCAGGGACGGCCGGCGCACCAGCGGGCTGCGGTTGTGGTTGGCGCAGAGCCCCGAGCAGTTGTAGACGCTGCGGAGCAGCAGCTGCCAGGCGCCGGCCGCCTCCGCGTTCCTGGCGCCGTAGCGCCGCTCGGCGTAGTTGGCGACCCACTGCTGGAGGTCCAGTGGCTCCTGGCGCCAGCCCAGCTCGCTCATCAGCTCGTAGACCATGTCGTTCTGCTCAATGCCCTCCGGGGCCAGGCCGGTGCCCACCAGGGTGGAGTTGGGGAAGCGCCGGGCGTCGAAGGGGCCCCGGTTGATGCTCTCCACCGTGCCGAAGAGGCCGTGGTTGCCGCCGAAGTTGTGCAGCATGCACCAGATGAAGGGCTGCCCATAGAAGGACTCCGTCCGCTGGTACACGGGCTTGGACTCCGCAAAGAGATCCAGCACGATCATCCTGCCGCTTGGCACGCCACGCAGCAGGGCCCGCACCTGGGCCGGCTGCCAGAAGTCGGGCTGGTGCTGGAAGAGCCAGCCCTGCATCAGCCACAGCGCGTCGGGGTCGGCTGGGCACAGACACACAGAGCCGTTAGTGACCTCAGGACACGCTGTCCCCCCACGACAGAGCTGCCCCACACCTGTCGCTCCCTATAAAGGGCTCAGCGCATCAGCTGCCCTTGGGCTCTGAGCGGTACCAGCCCCCCTCTCGTCCCAGGGCATCCGCCTGCCTGCCGGCCCCGAGAGCTCACTGTGCAGCTCACTCCCCAAGCTGCATGTGAGGGCCTGGCCTGCTGGCTGCAGTCCCCAGAGCCGGTTCAGCCCAGGCAGGCTCTCCCGTGCACTGCCCTCCCAGTCTCGCTAATGCCCCTGCCCTGCGGAGCCCGCACCATGCCCCTCCTCTGCGGAGGCTGCTCACAACTGGCCACCCATCCACTGCCCTGAAATGACCAACTCATTCCAGCTGGGCCACCAAGCCAGCGCAGCCTGGGGACAGTCTGAGCTGCAGCCCCGGCCGGCAGGAATCTAGACCAGCCTTGACCCAAAGCCCTGGGATGAAAGGTTCCCAGCTCCCCACCCCTGAGCCATCCAAGCCCTTTAGGAGGAGCCTGGTTTCCTGCTCGGGTCCTACCTCCGGTCATGGATCTGAAGACGGCAGCGCTGACCCCTGAGAGGTAGGCAGGGTCGGAGGACAGGGGCCTCATCTCATTGAAGGTGTCTGCGTTGTAGATGTGATCCGTGCCGAACTCTCGGATCAGCTCCTTCAGGAAGAGGGTCCCGATCACTTGGAACATGGGATCGCCGGGGTCCAGCAGGTAGGCACACGAGTAGGTGCAGTCGAATTTGCTCCAGCTCCCGAGCCGAGTGACGTTTATCCGAGGGAAAACCCTACGGCACAGAGCAGCAGCCAGGAATCAGAGCAGGGGGCAGGGCTCCCCCAACCCACTCAGCAATGTAGAGCTCTGCACGTGGGTGCAAGGAGCCATCTGGGGAGCCTGGTCTAGATGGGTGTGCACAGCTACGAGGGACGGAAATATCGGTCAAAAAGGGAAACCG